GTAATATTTATACTAACAGGTTGCAAATAAAACTATTCCTATGCCGTCACTACTTCTAGCCGAATCTCCTACAATCCCCGAGCTTTAATTTTGTGTGCGCTTTGCTTGATAGAAGGATGGAACAAGTTTTTCATTCTTGTTCTTTTTTAGTGAGTAGGTAGTTACAGCTCATGTGTCTCAATGACGAAACGTGAAAATGCAATGGGGTTTCAAATACTACAGTTAGCCATTCACTTGGACTTTTACATTTGATTCTGTAGAACAAATACATGTTAAGATAACGAAAACGTACAAGGCAAAAACTGTCTAATTTATTTGAGGAACTTGGCGATATTTTGGAAAAGTAACTTATATATTTTTATAATCTAATTGTGTCATTAGTTCACTTCTGTTAATATATTTCTAATAGAAAAATGAATGACTATCATTCTCGCATCTGTAAATGAAGAATTTTGGGGGAAAATTATGAAAGAGAACATTAAAATTCTCAGAAGTCAAATTTTTTTGTAGAAAAAATTATAAATAAAACTTAGAAACTTTTCTTAAGTTTAATCACTTACAGTCACAATTATTCAAGTGTAGTCACTGAAATAATATTTTTTAATATGACTGCTATGAGCCAATAGTGAAATAATCTGCGATTTTTATTTATTATAAAATAAAATTTTAACTATATACAAAACACAATTTACTTAATCATTTTGAATTTCTTTGAAGAAATACAAGTATATTAATTTGTAATTATGTAAATGAAACTGTGAGAACTGTATTGCAGTATCATATAATTACTTGCAATTTAAATAAATTCCAAATTATTAAAGCACAATCTAAAATTATTATTCTGAATTTCTACGAAGTATAATAGTTTTGTGAAAAACTGTAGCTCTAATGGAGATAAAGCTGAAGTTCCTTTAAGATAGAAACAAGATTTGCATTTGTTACCTGCAGAATATTCACAAGAGGCAGGAAGTTTCCGAATTATAAACTCGTCATTAAGTGTTGTATTCACGTAATCAGTAACAACTCGCTTAGATATTACTGATTATCTGTACACAATACATTAATAACATGCCATTGAGAGGTTGCTTAAAGTGGCATGATTTGAAAGTGAACTTTTTATTCTTTGCTTATAGTCATCCATTCGAAGGACACAGTAAATATTGTTTGAGAACACATAACAGGTATAACTTTTGTACATGTGGTATATGGTCAGATATCATTCCAGTTCACTAGAGGAAGACAAGATACTCAACTACCACTGCAGGTACGCTAGTTTCTTATGGGTAGGAACAATTTGAGTGTAGAGGAATATAATTTTAAATTTTTACCAACTTACAATGTAAGACGATGGTGATAGGAACATGAGTGATACAACATATTGTCACATTGTGTGGATTGAATGTCCAACTAACAGACAAAAATATCTCCACCTATGGACACAGGAATCGCTCATCTAAGTTGTAGTATCAATCTGATGAAATTGTTTTATACACATTGTTGAATGAAAATAAAGTTTTAGTGTATTTCATTTTCACAAGTATCTATGTGTTTTAAATATATGTGTGAAGTGATTTTAAGTTCTATTTCATGAAATAAAATTACTCAAAATATTATTTATGATATTAACACAAAATTAACTTTGTTACAACGACGATAAGCGAGATGTATTCAAAAAGCAGATGAGAAATTTCAAATTGTATGACTTAGGGGATCATTTTCTATACCCATGATTTAGAAATCACCAAAGAATAAACTTGTTTCGTTTACGTAGGTTTTAATGTCAGTGTTGATGTGTATGATTGTATAATTTTCTAAATATGTTGTTAATTTAATACGCTACCTAATATGATTCGGGGCACGAGGTAAGGTAGTTGGTTGAGGGGCTACGCTACAAGCCGGAAGGTTGCGGGTTCAAGTTCCGATGTTTTTTTTATTTACTTTTACCAAATATGATTCACTATTTTATTATGGTGCTGAATGTAGCCAAAGAAAAGAAATTATTATATCTCGCGGATCGGAACACTTACCGTTTTGACGGCAATCAGCTTCTTAACGGGACGTCGAAGTTTGAAGTTGAACACATATAAACAAATAACTAACTTCACGATTACAAAAACCCTAAAATATGACCAATGCTGAACCAGATCTATCTGCCTTCCATAATAATACACAGTCGGAATAACACCCATCGTAAAATTATTCTCCCACTTCGTAATTCTTCCACGTGGCTGCCCTCCAAGATATTTTACTATTGGAATTTTGTATGCACTGCTTGTTATACATTTAAACTATTTAAGTTCTTCGTTAGTATCTTCCTCAAGATACGTGCTACTCCCAACACGGCTGTCTTATGCAATTCTGTACTGAGTGTTTAAGAAGAAGGATTCCTTCTAAGTACACATGGGACCGCGCCATAGCTCAAGCGGTTAATCGCTGGCTTCCCACCGCGGCGGCCCTGGTTCGATCCCGGGTCTGATCAAGTGGGATTTGTGGTGGACAAAGTGGCGCTGGGGCAGGTTTTATCCGAGTACTTCGGTTTCCCCTGCCAATCTTCATTCCACCAATTGCTCCTCAATCACCCTCACCTATCATCTGGGGCTGGTACAATAGGCCAGAAGTGGCCGCAGTACAGGGGACTCAGTCCCATCCGACTAGCAATAAAAAAAGTACACATGAAGTGACCTTGATAGACTTCCAGTCTCAGTAATGATCATTGAATGAATTAATGTATAAGGGGTGGGCCTTCTCGGCCCTTGCACCGCACCCTACAGTGATCTATTGTGCTTCTGTCATGATTATTAATATCAACTTCAATTTCGCATTCCACAGGGGGGCACGCAATAGCGTAGTTGGTTGAGACACTATGCTACAAGCCGGAAGGTCGCGGGTTCAAGTCCCGATGATGTCATTGGATTTTTTCAATTCACCTAATCATTCCAGTTGCACTATGGCCCTGGGATCGACTCAGCCTCTAACAGAAATGAGTACCAGTAATATTCTTGGGGGTAAAGAGCGGCCGGCCATCTATGAATCGATTGTCTAGAAAATGTGGGCATCTCAACATCTCACAACCCTATGGGCCTCCACGGGATACCTTTACTTTTTATTATTATTATTATTATTATTACTTTGTTTGTTTGTTTACTTTTCTGCATTAATGCGTTTTTCCTCCAGTGCTTGCCTGTAATTTGTCTTTGACTCTATGTTGTGTTTGTCCATAATGTCCATTACTTGTATCTGCACTGTGCTGTGCCTGTAACTGGCCCTGTAGCCGTTGACTCGGCACATAAATAGTAAAGAACTGAATTATTATTACCGAAACGCCGGAATGTAATCCGTGATGTATAAATTAAATTATTCCTAGATTGTCAACAGAGGATAAGTAAATCACATTGAAATAGTGCGCATCTCTGACGTGTAATATTACTGTTTTGCTGATAAGCACACCCAGACACGAGGTGCACTGCCAGAAAGCCAACGGTATCTACGCATGAACATTTCAGTTTGCTAGCCCAAGAGAATTGGTTGTGTAATACAGGATATCTACATGTAGGACAATAACGAAGTTGCGTCTGCCATTTACATTACCTTCTTTGAAGCAAATGTGAACAGTAATTTATTTCATTTTCACTCTACAGTTTGGATTTCGAAACGTTAGCTTCTTAACAGCCATATTTCCTTCGGATACTTTTAATTCAACAGAGGTTTTTGTGATCTTTTCTACAAAGAAAATTTCAGATGCAGGTAAATACATTTTTATCGCTGCATTTAAATGACGAAAGATTAATGTTTCGCAATAAATTTCGATGAAAACACTAAACACTAATCAGAACCAGGGCTGCGTAATGTAACATCTGCGTTGACAACAAAGCTAGTGCTTTCCCTTTTCGGAAAGAATTTAAAATTTTGGTGTGAGCTTGATATTGATTTGTGAATCTGTATAAGAAAAAGTAGGTTTTGTTAACTGATATTTTAAAATGTTTCCGGAAACTAAATTCTTCAGTCAAATGGATTAAACGCAATGAAATGACTGGCAGTACATTAAATCCTTACTTTTAACCAACGCATAATTCAACCTCAATGAACTCGAAAAATCATTATGTGTTCACTGGTGACTGAGACTTTATTTCCACTCTCAGAAACCCAAAATACAGCCTTCATAAACGCATATTAAAATTCAATGGCATTCAGTGCCATTTTTCGGAAATTACTGCGAAAGAAATTGCAGTAGCTTTATATAACATTATATTCGACAAAAAAATAATTTTAATGCTACTTAATAAGGGAAAGAGGCGAGAACTCTTCATAATATTCAACACGCTGCATCCTTAGCCTCTTCAATTCTATTTACTTTAAAGCGTGGCTTATCATTTCGTCATTACATGTATTTGAACTGCCATACTCTGAGCCAGTAGTCCTAAGTGTGGGTTTTCGAATGTCGAACTGAGCTAAATAAATGATTCCAGTTTAGATGCATCTGAACACAAGATAAATCGAATACTCAAATCAAAAATTTTTTTTATTAACATTATCGGACTCTTCGACTATGGTCAGAACTATGATCTGCGGAATGCTGGACTGAGTCCGGCAGGAGCTGTCATTGGTCTAGAAACACAACTTATATCAATGATAGTTAGTTAGTTATTTAGAGAAGGTGGGTTTCCCCATGCACCGCGACCAGTTTGATCTATTGTGCTTCCCTCTATGATATTCTACCAGTCTCTATACCCTACCGATATTGGTGCTTACCATCAGTCCCGACCAAGCCAGAGAGTTCGGCCTCTACTGGCTTGACGGTATCTATAATGCTTTCCCCATCTATCAGAGGCGTTAGGGACTGCTGTTGGGCCAAACGTCCTTGAATTTGGCTCAGTAACCTCCTTAGGAGATATGAGGTTCTTTTACGTGCCGTAAAGCTACGACACGGGACCCACGGCTTAAAGTCCCTCCCGGAGGACTTGTTCCCTGAATTTTTCCGCCCTTAAAAATTCCACGACCTCCGCCGGGTTTGAACCCGCGTACTACGAGTCATGAGGTGGGAACGTTACCTCTAGACTACGGAGGCCGCTTATACCAATGATATATTTGACAGCTATAGACAATTTGAATGTTCGAAAAATAAGTCAGATCTATACTTCCTCCTTTATGCTGCTGCCTTGATATTTCCTTTATTTACAAAATTCTGTTCTTCAGAATTATGCTGGAAATTCTCCATGTACATTTTGAATACATCGGAAATTCAGTCGTTATTTTTCCCACAGTTTTAACAAATACACAACGCTAATTTGTCGCTTACATTTACGTTTAAAAATTCGAATAATGGTACGATAATCTCGCTGACATCTAAATGCCTGTTCCTCCTACGGCGCTGTGCAATGTCCATGCCAGTTCATCTGCTGCATAAGATACACGTGAGAACGTATGAGCCGATCTGACCAAAAGCATGGCACATTATTTGACGAACAAGTCCTTGAGTGTAGAGCACAGAGATGTGTCGCATGTATCTGAAGAACCCGCTTCGTCCTCTGCGTCTTTGTTTCCAGAGAACCACGACGATGTACCTGCTACTCCAGATCCACTCGCAGTCTTGCCATTATTTTTAGTAGGAGATACCTTGGAACTCTGGGGGGACGTGCCCCCTGGACTGTCGTTCCCACTTCCTCGTCTCGCCAGGAACACTTCAATGGCACTGCCCAGAACTTGAGCATCCACGACTGAACCACTTTTCTCGTCCCAAAGAACTTTGTTATCTGGAGGCGAGGAAGTCTTTGACGACGTCTTCTGTTGCCCCGATTCGGGAGACATCGAAGAGTTTTCTGAACTCTGTGCGACACTTGCATTTGCCTTTTCTTGGAACAGGCTGCCCATTACGGGTGACTGTCCCTTAGGTGGCTCTGATTTCTTCGGCTGATGCCTCTTGACGAACCAGCTGGCAGGACCTGCAATGCTGCATCTCCCAGTGTCCTGCTTCGGCTTTACACCTGCGCCGAGGAGCATAGACACATCGAAGCTGTTGGACCGCAAGTTTCTCAGTCGATTTCTTTTCTCTTCAGCACTCGCGGAGCTGCTGCTTTCGCTTTTCTCTGCTCCTTGTGAGGAATCCTTCCCTTTGGTGGATGATGACACTCTGGATGGACTTTCCTCTCCAGGATCCTTGTTGATCTCTTGTGCCGAGGAAGCGAGAGAAGAAATGATTGATATGAGGTCCGTGTTGGAGCAGATGATGCCCGTGGATGGTGACGGTTTGGGAGGTGTTGCTGAGGATCCTGAGGAAGAAGGAGGAACTTGTTCAGAAGCTCTTCGTTTGGGATGCTGTGCCGGTTGTGTTGGGACAAAGTCCGAGTAGCGACGCGATATCTGAGTAGTTGCACTTGCGTCAGGTCTGGAAGAAGGTCCTGCGGATACTTGGTGATATCTCGTCGCCGAGGCGGATGTTCCCGGAGTACCGTCCAACGGTTGGACCTCGCAGACTCTCTCATGACTAGGCGTCTTCCACATCTTAAGCCGAACCTTTCTAGCTGCCTTGATCTCAGCGATGTCATCCATGATGTCGAGCTGCAGATTGAACTGGCTACCGCTGGTGCTGCCAGAAGTGCTGGGCGGTCGAGGAACGGACGACGTAGAGTCGCGTCGGTTCGCTAGCACCCTTGTCACCTGCATCGAGTTGGCCGGGAACGCCGCGATAGACTCTCGGCGCCCCCGGCCGAACAAGATAGAGGGAGGTGGTGCTCGCGAGATTGTAACTACAGAGTGACGTCTTCCTCCGGGTGCGGGCGCCGGGGCGGACGACAGCGTCGCCAGAAAGGCAGCTTCTCTCATCGACGCTGCCGTTCTGCCCTCGACGCCGTGCTCCGAAAGGCGGCGCACTTGGCTAGCTGTGATGCCCGAGGTGCAGGATGGGGTGGGCAGGGAGCGTTTTCTCATGTCGCGGTAAGGAGACAGCAGCCCCGGGTGCAGCGTCAGCTGCGGAGATGATTCTCTGCTTGGCGTCTCTTCGTCATCCGTCCCGCCGGACTCTTCTACCACGATGAGGGGCTCGGCAGGGGCCTGGGTTGGCAAAGGCGTGTAGGAAGCGCGTCTCATGTCAACCTGTGGGCATAAAGAAGCGCCCTCTGTAGAGTTCCTAAGGTTTCTGGTTGTATCTATCACAGCAGATAATCTGAAACCTTCTACAAGAACAAGTTAATTAGCAAATATGACAACCTAAGAGAAAAGGCGAAAAATTCAAGCAATTTAAACTCTTTTTCCGTGATAGGCACATGCTCTTGATTAAAGGAAAGTATACATGCCACAATCATATTTATGCAACGTAATGATCAATCATATTTCTAACTCTAGAGCGCTTACTGTTTACTTGGACCTATATAAACAAATGGACAATCTCTGGAACAATAATGCCTCGCTTATTGTTAAATTAACAATTATATTATCATACAATGAACATTAAAATAACCCTAAATCGACGCAATTGCTTTAAGCACTGCAAAATGAATCCAACAACTTTCACGTTGAGTTCATGTCAGGAGAACGAATTGTGTCTCGGCGAATATTCGATCGAAGTACCTTTCAGTCTAGAATTCTTTTTCTTGCACGCGACGATCAGTCACGACGCTTGTCGGCTGCAGTAAGTCTTTGAATGCTGACCTGCTAAACATGTTTGGGACAGCGCCTGTATGTAATGACTACATTGCTTCTGGAGCATGCCACGTAAAATACTCAATAGGTGCCCAGTCAAAGGGTCCGAAATTAGCACTTATGAATACAAGTCATGGATTCTTCCACTGAGCTACTAAACAGGTCCATTCTTTTCAATGATAGTAACCCTTTAAAGCCCAGTGGTTTTATACGTACCATCCACTTAAACACATTAAAAATGTACATTCTGTACGTAGTGTGTATTTATGTGTGTCATATAGCACTCAGAGTAAACAGCGAGCTTTTTCCCTGAACAGCATTAACCGTATCTATGTAGCGGAGGCGTAATGTGTTTCCTGCGGGGTACGAACTGAATTTTTGTACATCATATAGGTGAAACTGTCTTTAAAATATATAAAAAAAACTTGCGCCTTGCAAGGCTCTTCAACACTGCTGGCAACTTCACCTTTATGTGATGCACAAACGAGAGTCTGCCGACAGAATCAATGCCATATAATCATTAGTGTACATCTGGCTTTTAAGGTAGTTTACTATTTTCCAGCTTATTTCGTGGTGGCATAAGATAATGGAGGAAGAAATTATAGTATCAGGAGTTAGGTTAGCTTAGTTTCAATATTTACTTTCGATTAGTATATTTAACGTTAGCACTCTGTAGATTATGGATTAATACAGCATCTCATTTATACATAAGAGAGAAGACGGTTTACGATTATGTATGTGTGTTATCTTACTATATGTGTGCTGCTCGTACATGCCATTCCCACTCCGCAGTAATTCTTACGTACATGCGGCAGCTCTGTGTTCTAAACTACCCCATCTAATAGATAAATACGTAACATACTTTAATGTTTTGACGAGGAAATGAGGAGAAAGACGAGACAAAGAACAAAAGAAAATCACGGATAAAAATGTGAAAGAAATTATTTTATTTCCGATGTCATTGGGCTTTTTAGGATACAGAAAACTTCAGAGCTCTAGTACACTATTTAATGACGTTGTTGGGCGCGTGAGTTCTGGATAAGAATGTAAATAAATTTCCCCTCCAGATTCTCCTCCGTTTCAGAGTTACGACATAATGTGAATAAATTTCCCCTCCAGATTCTCCTGCGTTTCAGGGTTACGACATAGTTACGTGATATCGCTGTCGTGTGTGGTGATGATTTGATGGGGGGGGGACTTCATGCTGAGAGATCTTGGAAATAGGCAGTGAAGAACAGTTATCAGACTCGAACAGTATTAGTAGTGACAAAAACTGCAGCAGCAACACAAATTCCTAGCTTTACTAATGCAGAATTTGCACATATGCATTTTGTGTACGATGTACAGAAATCCTTTCGCTGTTTCGAGAGAATATCAGCATGGATCCCCGGATCTGAGATAACTTCACCGACGCGCGTTTGAGATGGCGAATCGCAATGTGAGGGACACAGGCACTCGCATACCGCGTGCACATGTTGGCCGCGGTATGCGAGTGCACAAGTTGGCCGCAGTATGCGAGTGCCTGTGTCCCTCAGATGGCGAATCGCAATGTGAGGGACACAGGCACTCGCATACCGCGTGCGCATGTTGGCCGCGGAAGGCGCAACGTGCGGGATGATGAGGGAATACTGCATATCATACACGTTAACTTTAACCAGCACCAGATTTCTTCTGCAACAGGACTTTATAAGGGTGCAACAGAGCGTACTCTGCTTCAGAATAAATTACATCCATCCCATGTACATCTAGCAAAATGTTTTCAGCTAGGGGACAAACATCTCCGTCTGCATTTCTCCCAATTGGTGCTGCAAAAGCGTATGGACACAAGAAGCTGTGTACACAGTCTATACAACTTATATTTATGGGCAACGGAGAATCCTCATGCTACCGTCATCCATCATTCCGGCAATGATTTAGTGTCCGCTTTTGGGACAGCATCGTAGATAATTATGTAATCGGAGCGTATGTAATACTGGATCGTCTCGGTGGAGCGCACTAAGCCGATTTTCTTGAAGAAACGTTTCCACTGTTATTGGTGGATGTGCCTGTATTGTGCGCGACAGCATTTGGATACAGCACGACTGTACCGCTCCCCATTTTGTACGTCGAATGCGCGGTTGGCTCTACAGCAACTTGACGTGGACATCCAGTGGCTTGGCCTTCACGTTCCGATCTGATTCCCCCTAACTTTTATTTATGGGGATATCTGAAGGAAGAAGGGATTGTGATACGTAATTATTTTTACTGAGGTGACTGTTTCAGACATTAGGAATCTACCTAGACAGCTTGGTACTGTTAGTGGCTCACTTCGAAGTTGCTGTGAGGTTTGGGTTCAGAAGGAGGGGGGAAAACGTGGAGTATTTGTTGTGATGTGTATCCAATGTGCTGAAAAGTACCGACCACACGGAGAAATATACTCAGAAAGAGTACTCTAAAAGTAGCGACTGATGAAAGCTAAAAAGGACAGCATTTACTTTCCTCCTTTCCTTAAATAAAAACAGTGAGATCAATTGACATGTTTCTTATAGGAGAATTGTTTCCATTTTGTAAAAATCGATAATCACAATAGTATAAGTGAGTATAAGCGTCGTAACTCCTAAACAGTGGGCGAATAAAAAAATATTTACATTTTCAGCTTTATTTCATCTACCAGCAACCTCTCTAAGCAGTTAGCTTTTGTTTTTTTAGTTTCTTGCAGTGGGGTGAGACTTAGTCCACTTGGTACGTCGGCCACTAACTGGCCTACTATACCAGCCCCGGATGATGATGATGAATGTAGAGCAATTTGTGGAAAGAGAATCGGCAGGGGAAGCCGAAGTACTCCGAGAAAACCTGCCCCATTATCCCTTTGTTCACCGCATATCCCACATGACCTGACCTGGGCTCCAACCCGGGGCGCCGCGGTGGGAAGCCGGCGACTAACCGCCTGAGCTATGGCACGGCCAACCTCTGTGAGTATGTACTACATATTCGAATATACAGCGTACATCCCAGTGGTTGGATCTCCCGTTCCTAGGCTGTACATTCCTCTCATGTGTGTTTATGTGTCTCACCAGGTATAAGCTCACATTACATTCTGAAACAGTGAAGGTTCATTTGTATCTTTAAGTTTTAACGGTATTTAAAAATAAATTAAGAATAGTTAAATTCACGACATTCCGTCGCTACATACGTGGCATCACACACTAATACTGTACTTATTTTTCAATCCTCGATAAAAGACCGACGGTGTTGCTACTTATGCCTCTCTTGCATGTTCGTCAGCGGAGTATCCTGTTTCGAGAGCGATTCAATTTGACCACGTCTTCAGTTATAAGCATTTAAATGAAAACATTTTGTGCTAACTTGCTGATATTTTCTGTCTTAAGTACAACTATTCTTAGGAATATATTTTATCGGTGTATACCCTATACTGAACAATCCACTTTGTCCATACTGAAAGGGTTAGCACACGAATTTAACAAACATAACATGCGCATATCAACAGAAGCCTTTCTTTGCACCAAATTTTATTTGAAACTGACGGACGATTCAGATACTACGAGGGGGAAAAAAAAAATGTGTACTGCACTCTAAGGAAGACCGTTTCTCCTATCTAAAACCCAGAAACATATTATGTTTCTGATAACTTAATGGGTTAAAAAAGATGATCAGGCATTTATGATATTCTAATGATAATTTTTCTTCAGGATACCTGCCTAAATTTGTTGTTGTTCTACTTAAGCTGTAGGTCTGGTCCTTCCTTTCGAAAACCAGTCTAGAGCTATCTAGCTCTATCCTTTCAAGACGAACAATCACAACCTAGCAAATCTAAATTTATCGCTGTGACACTGAGGTATGTTTCCTCTAATATTAATGGCAGGGACTGAAGATAGTTTTCCCACACTTTCTGTTTCCGTATCGATTTCCCATGTGTCTTATGTGCCATTTCTAGCGTTTCAGGCTATTTCCTCCATCCTTCCAGCCCCTACCTCACTCCGACAGTAGATTGGGACACAGACAAGTTAACAATATTAAAGAGTTCACGTCGTAAACATCTTGGAGTTTCTCTTAATACTGCACACGGCATTCTTCTCGTTCTTCTGTGAATTCCGCTGTCAAATTCTTTGTGTACTCCGACACAGTCCGAAATGCTGTTGAGGTGTTAAGACGCGATTGAATGTCCAGAGAAAGAGAGAGAGAGTGTGTGTGTGTCTACCCGCCTTTTGTATCGTGATTTTACCGAACTTTCTGAATTCACTGAGGATACGAAGATGCTATTATACATGGATATTAATTCATCCCTATAATATTGTGACAAATTGGGCCGTAACTGATGATAACTACGTAAAGTCTTAGTTCGATTAGCAATACCAGACCAGATTCAACCCAGGCAACTCAAGTTAGAAGCATTTCCGCTTGAACCAACTCGCCCAATGAGATTACCTAACCTATACTGCCACCCCTAGGCGTAC